AAAAAACTCCAAACCCAAAAGCCCTACAAACCCCAGGCCCTAGACCCTAAACACTCCAACCAAAGCCAGAAACTCAACTCCCAACCCCAAAGCCCCAAACCCTAAACCCCTGAACACTCGAACCCAACACCAGAAACTCCAAAACCCAAAGCTCGAGACCCTAAACCCCAAACACCTTCGAGCAAAGCGGAGAACTTTGGAGGTTTGTTAGGGGGTTTAGTTTAAGTTGCCATAGTAAGGAAACCCCATTATTTACTATAGATCCCTACTATGGTAACTTACATAAGAGTCCTACATTCTGGGTTTAGGGGTTTAGGGATTCTGGGTGTAGGGGCTTAGGGTTAAGGTATTTTACGCTATGGGGCGATACTTTCCCACAACGTAATGGTAATTCCCTACTATAGAAACCCTACATTCTACTATAGGTCAGTAAATCCAAAATCCTAAACCCTCTAAACTCTAAACCCCAAGCCCTAAACCCTCGAAACCCTATTCTCCTTAACCCTAGAATCGTAGGCCCCTAAACCTGTGACCCCAAACCCTACAAAATAGTAGATAAATTATGACCCCTTAAGTAGAGGGTAGAACCCCTAAACGGTAGGTTTTTGGCTTCCCATACCCCTAAACCCTAAACCCTAAACCCTAAACCCAGGAGCCCTTGAAGGCTTTCTTCTGGCCCGGTCTCTGCTCGAAGGCATCGACAAGGCTCTGCAGCGATTCTTCCGGAGAGACCTGCTTAGGGCTTGGGGGTCCTTAAATGAAGGAATACCTATAAAGGATCGTTGGGCACATCCGCAACCATGATCCGAACCATCTTACACTGACTCACTTTGGCTGGATCCGGGATTCTTCGAACTTTAAACCTCGCCACTTGTTCAGCGCCCTCTTATAAAACACTCCTTGCAGAACCCCATGGAAAGTGTCGAAGCCCTAACCGAAACACACGGAAGCAGGTTTGCCCCCGGCGACCCCCAAATCCCACAACCCTCAACTAGCAATGAGCCGACACATTATAATATCCCTAAATAGCAGACCTTAGCTATCTGTCTTAATCATCTTAAACCCAAATACCCACTTACTGGGTCCTTCGGACCTTTATATGAGGACTCTAAACCCAAAACCCTCCTATGGCCCCTACAGTCGAGGACAGACATGCCTGGCTGGTGGGCGCCCACTCGAGTACCTCTTCGACGTGGCAGGCTCCTACACCCTAAACCATAAACACCTAAAACCTATAAAGTTTAAACACAAAATAACCCTGGCCTTGAAACGCCCAAACTCTCAAAACTCAGCATATTCGTTAGTGCGATCGATATTTGTCTTGTAATTAACTGTGACTAGTATCGCAACTCGTCCTAAACCCTACATCTAAACCCTAAACCCCAAACCCTTATGAAGCCTAAACCCTAAACCCCTACACCCCAAACCCTCCTGAACCCCTATACTACCTATACCCTAAACCCCTAAACCCTAACCCCCAATGCTTTTGGGGGGTTGTAGGGTTTTGAAACGGACCAAAGGCTCGGCTGAGGCCTCCCCGGGCCCCCGGCTTTGGGGATAGACGTTTTTTTTGTCTTCAATAGGGGTTCTTTAAGGGACTGGGGGTTTAGGGGGTTTGGGGGGTTGGGGGTTTAGGGTTTAAGGGTTTAAGGGTTTAGGGTTTAGGGTTTGGGGGTTTAGGGTTTAGGGCAGTTTAGGGTACAGGGGTTTAGGGGTTCTGGGTTGAGGGTTGTTTAGGGCTTAGGGTTTTGACCCTAAACCTTAGACCGTTTAAGGGTGTCTTTGAGGGTTCCTCTCAGGGACCCATAAGATTTTGATAATTTCAGGGTCTACCTGAGTCTACCTTAACCCCAAATAACCTACCTTTGTAAGGACATAAATGAGGAAATCATTTTCAGGCATCCATACAGTCTAAAAGGGTAGGTTTTATAGAACCCTAAACCCAAAACCCTAAAACCTAAACCCTAAACCGAGGGGTAGGTTTTATAGGGGTTCCGGTAGGGTATCGACATGTAGACGTGCAAGTAAGGCGACTTTTTGGTTTAGGGGTTTCGCGTTTAGGGGTTTAGGGTTTTGGGGTTTAGGGTTTAGGGCTTAGGGTTTTGGGCTTAAGGTTTCGGGGTGTTAGGGCTGCCCAATCGAAAACTCAACCCTCAACCCTAAAAGCTTTGAAAACGTTGGGAATAGGATTCAATCTGCGAGGTGCAGCTTCTAAGGAGTTGGCACTTCGCTATCCGAAAGTCATGAAAGTTACCGATCATCTTGATGACCTGTTCCTACCGGCAAAAGTTGCCGAAAGCAGCAATTAAGCTCTTGTCCCTAAATCCTGAGCCTAAACCCTCGTGCGCACGTGCAGCAACCCAAAAGAACTTCCCCATTCCCAACCCCCTAAACCCTAAAGCCTAAACCCTTTCTTCACAATTCCAGACTTTGATCCACTTCAGGCATGCAGCCTACTAAGTGGTACGAAAATGCCGACGAGAGTAACCATATTCTATCAAGTACACTCCCTGCTTGCAAATTACTCCAGCGACCTCCAGCTGTCTGGAGATGACGGACCGAAGCTGACACAAAAGTTGAAGCTTGCGCAGCGCGGCTGGACATGTAGGCTTTGTGTATCAGAGTCTATCACTGTTAGAAGCGCGCAAACAAACTCGGAGCATGGCAGATCTTCTGCATGCTGAAAACAAATCTTGCTCCAAACATGCGCTGGCTGGCGTGTCTGCTGCTATGGGTCATCTTTCACCGGGTCCTCGGCGCACTTCACAGTCCACCGCAGCTGCTCCCGCCACACCTTTGGCGTCAGCACCCATCGCCTCGTAATGCCGGTACCGACGTTGATAGATGGCATTCACGAAGGCCTTTCAATTTCACAGAAACGTACTTTCACAGCGACGCAAGTCGGCACCCTTTGCCTTTGGGTGAACATTTAGAGTCCTGTGAAACTTAATGGCGGCTAACTGGAAACCATTATGTATCCCCCGCTAAACCCTAAACCCTAAACCCTAAACCCTAACCCCTAACCCCTAACCCCTAAACCATTATGTATCCCCAACTTGATACCAGTCCTTTCGGACCTAATGGCCACCAACTGGTAACCATTAAGTGTCCTCAACCCGAAGTCAATCATTTCATATTCAATGGCTACCAGCTGGTGGCCATTAAATATCCCAAACCTGAGATTACGGGTTGAAGGCCTAGGGGGTTTAGGGCTTAGGGGGTTCAGGTTTTAGGGCTTACGTGCGTTCGCGCTCAGTATGCACGAGGCCCACATGCATGCCAGGGATTCCCTGCGATTCCCAGTAAAACTATATCATGATGCACTGCAAAACCCGCTACGATTACTAAGGCGCTAGGCCCCTTATCTAACTGTATTCTCATCACTTAAGGGCCCGGTACTAGACACAGAAAGCTTTGGATCTGTAGCCACTTCTAGGCCCTAAGCCCTAAACCCTAAATATGTTCTCAACTGTTGCCTACTTCTCGAGTTTCTTTGGGAAACGACTGCCATTTTGGATTACAAGTCAGTTATGCTACCGGAGGAATTCAACGGTTACCTGCTCGACCCATATAACGGGCTGCTAGACTGGAAACTCGCCATGCGGAAAACTCCAGACAAAAGGTAGAGACAATAGCTTGTCGTTTCTTTTGTACGCTGGTTGTTCTTAGTATCCTTCATGCTGCGCCTATTTTCCTGCTTTTGAGGTTCACCACGGAGACCAAGACCAGCCGGACAGGTTTAGGGCTTAGGGCTTAGGGTCAAAAGCCCAAACCCCAAAAACCCAACAAAAGGCACCTCTCCATTGACGCGTAATCGGCCGGCACGAAGAATGTCACCATGCTCCTGGGTAGGTCGAAGGTTCTGGGATTAGGGTTCTGGGCTTAGGATGACCTGTCTCTGCTTTTGGCGTTCCGGTTTTGGGTTTTGAACTTTGGACTCTGCGATTTGAGCCCTTAAACTAGATTATACCCAACATACCCGAGGGCTCCGTCAAACCCTGCAGTTACACGTCCACCTGTCCGACCCCCAAACCAGAACAACTCTGAAGGCAACAGGATGGGATGGTTCTCTGGAACAGTAACCTATAAACCCTAAACCCTAAACCCTAAACCCTGACCCTAAACCCTAAACCCTAAACCTTAAACCCCAAAACCATAAACCCTAAACCCCTAAACCCCTAAACCTTAAACCCTAAACCCCAAAACCATAAACCCTAACCCACCACGCATGTGAGTGGGCTCCCAAACGGAGGGCCGCACCTAGGCTCCGTTCCCCTTGGAAGGTAGGCTTTAGGGGTTTAGGGTTTAGGGTTTAGGGGCTAGGCAACTGTGTCTGCTTGCTTCAGGTCCCTGCTGAACGAATGATGTTCCGAAGAAGCCAACCCAAAAACGTACCCGAGAGGCCCTAAAATCCACATCCTAAACACCTATCAAAGCCTTATGCAGTATATAGGGCCCTTATCAAATTATACGACTCATATGACTGGCGCCAAGAATCCCTTCTTTTCACAACGGGAATCTGCTCGTGGAGAGTTCGATGAGGGGGTTGAGCGTGACGAGACATGTACTCGTCACTTGCCGTCCCCTCCTTGCCCAGCCCACCCTAAACCCTAAACCCTAAACCCCTAAACCCTAAACCTATAAACCTATAAACCATAAACCCTAAATTCCTAAACCCTAAACCCAGATCGAGGTTACCGAGGGACTCCAAGAGAGCCCTCATCCCTCTCAGCGTCTGGCAGGTGCAGCATCCGGGATCGCACTGTCGGGCCACATGACTTCCAAAGGCGGGGGGAACAGGAGTACCTGCTCATCTGAGAGTGGTTCGTAGGCGTCGAAGATGTAGTTCTCTCCTACAGGCGAACAGTTGTAGTAGCCACCACAGCAGCCACCAATTGTGTCTGGCATTGTTGCTCTCCGGCGGAGCTCATCATATGCTTTCGTCTTCATGAGTTTCCCATTCTGCATATAGGCCACGCGGCGTACGAGGTACTGATAGTTCACTCCTGATGTCGGATCACTCGGATTGTTAAAACTGATTCGAACCATGTCCTCTGCTGCCATCTCCACAATAGAACCATCTGGTCGAGTGATCTTCTCGCCCTCTGTAGGCCTGTAGATCCATTGCGGGTCGATGTTGATCCACCTGTCGTTTGGTGAGTGAACGGCCATGCAGAAGCTGGAGAACCGCTGAAATTGATGCACAAGCAGGCTGTTCCAATGCAAGACGGATCATTCGTCCAACTATACTTCGGCATGAAGTATCCTTGCTTTCCCGAGACCCAGTCCATATCTTGAAATGTCAACAGCACTTCTGGGGCATAGTTGTCCTCCATCCAAAAGAGCCCCTTCAAGAACTCCGGAGTGTTGGGGTGCTCAACGCTGAGCATCTTCACAAACCAGTCGTCTGGATCGGAGAGCTTCACTGCAGCCAAATCCGAAATCCGGGACTGCACGGCCTTTGCGCAACAGCACGGAATCACTGGCTTCGCACAGATAGGGGCTCGATGGGTAAAGAGGCTGTTCCAGCACATGGAGAGGCGAGCAGCAAACCCCGTGCAGCTGCTGACCAGCTGCGGTGGGTTGTAGAGCTGGGCCAACGGTATGGCAGCTGCTTCGAACGCGTTCCAATCCAAGTCTTTCAGGAAGTCTGGTGGCGGTTTACGATTGTTTTGAGCTGCCATGAGACTCTGCGTCTCTGTCATGGCGAGGCAATGGCAGGGTGCAGTGGACCACAGAACTAAATCCACAACCGTAGAAGAAGGTTCCTGTACCCAATGACATAATGACGCATGCCAGTATGCGCACAACACTCCTGCTGAATCCAAAAGCAAGTTGCATGGTGACAAAGAGCAGCAGAGCAGACCACAGAGCTTTCGGGTTAGAGGTTCAGCGACAAAGGTTTACGGGTTTAGAGGCTATGTCTTGAGATTTAGGACGGTTTAAAGCCTAAACCCTAAACCTTTGAGATTTAGGACGGTTTAGGGTGTTGGGTTTTTGTCATGCGTGCTTCTTTGAGGCTTGTAGGCTTCCAAGTCTACCTCCCTGCCATCACCCTGGAAACCTATAAAAAGGCTATTATTCTACATACTTTTGGGCTCCAGGTAAACCCTAAACCCCTAAACCCTAACCCCTAACCCCTAAACCCTAACCCCTCAAACCCTAAACCCTAACCCTAAACCCTAAACTCTAAACCCTAAACCTTAAGAGGCAGGGGAGGCTGGCCATCATACCCTGAAGCCAAGAGACTAGGACAGCTTCGGGTTTTAGGGTTTTAGGATGTAAATCCCCCCACACCCGAAGCCCCCAGGGCTTAGGGTTTAGGGTTTCCTGAACCCTAAACCCTGTAGCATTTTAAGATTAGGGGATATGCCAAGTGGAGCCCAACACCTGCAAATGGTGCCCAAGACCTGGAGCTCAGAGCTAAACACTCTCTCTCCCAGCCACACATATCCTGAACAGTACCACCTATAGTCTCCATTGTAGTTCCTTTTTGGGATAACCTTTTAGAATCTGGTTCAACAAAAAACGGAACTACAATGGAGACACTATAGGTAGGATCACGCAGACGGTGAACTTCTAGAAAGCCGCAAACGTCAAGCCAAACTGTGAAGTTGAACAACTTTCAGAGCCCTAAACCCGAAGCCTTAAAGTCCTAAACCCTAAACCCTAAAGCCCTAAAGCCCTAAATCCAAAGCCCTAAGCCCTATACCCTAAGCCCTAAACAGTAAACCCTAAATCCTAGACCCGGTTACAGGCTGGTGCCCTCAACCCTAAACCCCTACTGCTGACATCAGTCTCATACCGGCCCGCTTAACCCCCAAACCTCCGAACCCTAAACCCCAAACCCAAAACCCCACAACCCCAATCCCCAAAACCTTATGGATCCCGTTTAGGAGCCCTTGTAACATAGGAACCCTAAGCCCTTATAGATCCTGTTTAGGAACCCTGAACAATGACCCTAAAGCCTAAAGCCTGAACCCTAAACCCTAAACCCTGTAAACCCTTAACCCTACACCCTAAACCCCAAACCCTAAACCCTATACCCTAAACCCTAAACCCTTCACCCTAAAGCCCCTAAGGTCCAAGGCACGGCCAGGCAGGCGTTTAAGAAGGCCGAGTTCATGCCATCGCTCCAGCCCCAAGCAGAGTCAAAAGAAGGGACTGACGGAGCAGGGTTTGGGGGGTTAGGCTTTAGGGTTTAGGGTTTTCGGGTTTAGGGTCTAGGGCTTAGGGTCTAGGGTTTGCGTTTTAGGGCTGAGTGTCTATAGGGTTTAGGATGTCGCCTTCGCATCATTACAGTATACAGGGTTCATGCCTTCGTGTTCAGAGTACGTGGTCTGGGCTCATGCGGGTGTTTCTGGTGTAATCCCTAAACCCTAAACCCTAAACCCTAGCTCTGGACTTTGGGGGTTCTCATGATTTGCATCACCTCCAGCTGGAACGCAGGTTGCGCGGGCTGGGCTCACTGGTGCACATTCATGGTTTAGGCTTACTGTAATTGGCTTGGGGATTGCGAGAGTGTCACGAGAGCGTCGAAAAGGCTTCAATTCGTTGGTGCTGAATTCCAAACCGTATCCGTACAGCAACCTGCAACTGTATAAGCCCCATATCCTGAGCCCTACCACTGTAGCCCCAAACCCTACCAAAAAAGTGTAGGTTATGACTCCTTGATCCCACCATGTAATAGGTAAACCTAAACCCTACACCCTAAAGCCCTGATTCTAAGGTGGGATGACCACCAAATACCACCAAACAGCAGGCGGGTCAAAACGTCGTTGGACTACTTGCTGATTGTACAGACTAAATGTTCAGTTCCCTATTAAGTAAGCCGTAAACCCCTATGTACCAAAGAAAAACTGCAGACACATGCAACACCCCAAACAACCTGTGATACAGGAAAAGAAATGATACCCTAAACCCCAAACCCTAAACCCTAAACCCCAAACCCTAAACCCTGAACTCAAGTCCGCGAAACCCCAAGCCACTCTAGACCCGACCCTACCTGGACCCTTTGAAGCCTGCCTACTTAGGACTCCGCATTAGGATTCTTTCTAAATAAACAAACAAACAAATAAACAAACAAATATATATATATATACACCTCTATATATATATATCCTTAGAAGAGTAGGTTGTTTGGGGTTACGGCAGACCCTAAACCCCAAACCCATAAACCCCGAACCCTCCACCGTCATCCCCAAGCTACGGCAGCTCGACCCACTCGCCAGACACATACCTGGGCAGAGCGTTGCTGTAAGAGTTCTTAAAGTTTAGGGCTTAGGGGTTTAGGGCTTAGAGGATTTGAGAGTGTTGGGGTAAGGGTTACGGGGTTTAGGGTTCAGGGTTAAGGGTTTAGGGCCCCATGGCGCTATACAAGCTTGATGAGGGCTCTGTCTGGCTTTATGAGAGTTTGACGAGGTATGTACCTATATTGGGTATGCTTACTGAAATCATGATAGTTATGACTAGTCTTGAACCCTGTCCTCGTTTAATTCTTTCTTTGTCCTGAAGCCCTCATGAGGTAAATGCCCCTACACCTCTATCCAATCCTCGCAGGAACCAATCCGAGTTTGGATCCTCAGCCCACAGGCGAGGACGACAGGTCAAAAAGCAACGGGACTGTGACTGCAACGGCGTTCAGTTTCTGTCGCCCCAACAAGCGGCACAGCGCTAGCTGGCTGCACGGCTGGACAGTCCGATTTTGGGTCCTCAGCCCAAATGCTAGGACCCCAGGTTCAAACACATCTTCATGGGGGATTCACGCACCGAGGCCAAATTCGCCCCAGAACGCGCCCAATTCCATCAAAAAGACGCCCCCTGTTCCCAACTCCAAGACGTTGCTGCGCTCGTTGCAATATTGTGCCACCCGCATCCCAGGACTTGTTGTTGGAATGTTTTTTCCAAGCCAGAGCAGCAAGAGCCCTAAACCCTAAACCCAAGTACCCTAAACCCCAAACCCTAAACCCTGAACCCCAAACCCTAAACCCTAAATCCTAAATGGAAGTGATCGCCTCCGCTGCTACATGATGCTAAACCCCCGAGCCGGGAAACCCAAATCCACACATGGAGCGGTTTGGGGTTTAGGCTTTTGGGTTCCTGTAGTAGTAGGTGCTAAACCCTAAACCCCTAAACC